ATGATTCAAAAGAGTTTAATTTATTTTTATGCTAAGTGTGCAGGAAAATTAATTCAAGAATTCTAATCTTTTCTCACAATTAGAATTAATTCATGTTCTCTTTGTTCAGAGTTTTAGGTTCGAATTAATTTAATTTGATTCAAACCAATCCCGAACTTCTTTTTTTCCGAAAATGGTTCGAACCATTATTTTTAGCTTTGAAGCAAAAAATTCTAGAAAGTTAAATTTTGACAGCTCATCTATTCATTTATTTTTATTCTTAATGGGCCTTGGGAGAACAAATTGTTTGAACACTTTCCAAAGTCAAGTAAAAAATAGTAAAATAAGGTGGAATCTAATTGGAGCATTTGTGAGGTGGCTTTGAAGAGTTAAATGGACTTTAATTGCAAAACTCTAAATCTACTATTAAAATGATCAAAAATTCATATATGAAAAAGGACAGAAGAAGGACAAATTGCTACAGAAAACTGAGTTTGAAATTGTTTTGGTTTTCCTTCTTCTTTCATTTTTGTGAGCTTTTGGATTAATTGTCTTACTAGAATTCTGTATTCTTCTTGGATTGGGATAATCCTTGAAGGGGTTGAGTGAGTTGAGATTCACTTGTAAAGGTCTAATCTTGCACCCATAAGCAAGAGTTTGTTCTGGTTTAATCTTGCACTCGTAAGCAAGAGATTTCAAATGGATTGAACTCTCGAGCAAGGAGGCTTGGGGAGTGGACGTACTCCGGGTTGCAGGAACCATTATAAATCACGGCTTGATATTCTCTTCCTTTTCTTTTTATTTTTCTACACTTTATTTACAAGATTGCAGTTGATCTTTATTTTATTTTGCACAACAGATTATACATATATATTGAAAACTTAATTCACATTTTTATAAAGAAAAAGAAATGAGTTTTATATCTTAAGAATTGAGGGGTAGCTAGCTGGGATTACATATTATTATTTATTTATTTTAATTAATTAATTTATTACAAAAAATTTCACTTTATTTTTTCATTTTAATTATTTTAAGACAAAAAATGTGAAAAATTCTCTATTTATGTTTCTTAAACTAAATATAGTATTATTAATGACTAAAACTTTTAATTCAAATTAAGTATAAAATTCTTAACTAATTAAAATAGTATTTTTAAAGAGCATTTTATAAGTTTTTATTACCTACATCATTTCTATTTTCTCGTTGAGCTTATATATATATATATATGTATGGTGGAATTTTTGAGCTTATATTCAAAAGAATAATAGACAAAACAAGACAAAACAAACGAACTCTACATCATAATTTGATAATGTAAAGACTTTTAAAATTTGAATAAAGAGTACGAAGTCGCTTAGAAAATTTTGATTGCATACATAAATAATACTATAAATGAAATTTTTAATTAAGAACGGAGAAAGTCTAAGGTTATATCCCCGATTCAGTCCCTCAACTTTCATTTTTGAACTAAAACTACCCTCAAACTTCAAAAAGTACTAAAAGTCTCCTTAAACTTCAATTTTTGGGACCAATTTCGTCCTTCCGTCGACGGAAATAACAGATTGCACGTTAAGTTGCCACAAAATCAATTCTTGTTTGAAATCTTTAATTACGTGGAAAATAACTAGTCCACGTCATCCCTCATTACTCCGATCATCCTTCATTACTCCGGTCATCCCTCCGGTCATCCCTCATTGCTCCGATCATCTATTACCACTCCAATCACCATCTACTTCTTCCCCAAACCTCCTCCCTAATAGAACTCAATAAATTTGATTCAAAAAATCAATTCCTCTACAAATGTATATCAGATCTGCAAAGAAAAATGGAAAAAACACTACATTCCTTCAATCAACATCAACAGTAACTAGATCTGGAAATTCAAGCAATCAGAAACCACACAAAACTCTAAATCCCATTCAAGCATGACTGTAAGCCAACAAAGAAACAGAACAAAAAAACCCAGGCGGGTTCGACTCAAACCCAGGCGCTGGGTTCGGAACCTAGCGCCTGGGTTCGAGGAACGTTCGAACCCAGGCGTGCTGGGTTCGAACGAACCCAAGCGTGCTGGTTCGAATGAACCTAGGCGTCCTGGGTTCCCTCGAACCCAAGCGTCTTGGGTTCCATCGAACCCAGGGCCTGGGTTCGAGGAACCCGCGCCTGGGTTCCATGGAACCCAGGCGTGCTGGGTTTGAGGAACCCAGGCGTTGGTGCTGGGTTCCTTCGAACCCAGTAGGGGAGGGGAAGGAGAAAAGGAAAGAGAAGGAGAAAAAGAAAGGAAAGGAAAGAAAAAAAAATTATTTATTAAATTATATTTTTGGTGCCAAGTCACAATATTTTTATAATTAAAAATGCCACATCACTCATTTTATTTCCAGGTAATATTTAATATTAATAAAAATTGAATTTGTTAACGGGAAATGTTGC